GCTCTTTGTATTTAGCTGTTCTCAAAATATAGCAAAAAGGTGGAAAGAGATGTGGATTAGATATGATATACATTACTATTTGTCCAGACATGTTTCAATGGCTGTAATATTTTTGCTGATCATAAAAAATAAGCTGAGATGCAAAATCCTGTTTTTAAATACCAATTTACTGCTTCATGTTTACGTTTTTTATAAAATGTGTTTTCATTGGTGTGAATACACATGTCTACAAATATCTTTTCACTCTGACAACTGTGAATGCTTCGTATTGAGTCAAGTTATATATATATATATACTAACTTTGCGTCTTTCATCAGTGGTATCATTTGTAAATACTTGTGTGTGTTTGTTTTTGTGTGACATAAAACTGAGGTGGGAACACTTCCTTAATGGACTTAAACAGCCTACCCCCCCCCCACCCCCCCCACCAACCTCTAAAAGGGGCAAGGAGTGTGGAGGAAAGGTGGAACGCTGGTGGGGAAATGAGGGGGAAGTCAGTGATCCAAGGAGCACTTTAACAAATTTACATTTAATTTTAGCAGAGGCCTAAAGATATTTTCTGGTAAAATATATTAGCAACATTAAAAATGTGACTATTAGATAAACGTGATAGGTTTTTTTTTTGTCAAAAATAAAAGATGGCGTATCTCTAGAAGTAAGCCCCGGAGCACAGGATGTTTTATTAATGCACGAGCTGTGGTTCAAATCAGAGGCTAATTTTTAATTTCTTCACATCGTTCACTTCTCTCTCTCTCTTCGCCCCGAGCGCTTTAGAGGACTTCTCTCTCTCTCTTCTTTCCACTCTACCACTATGTGTCTCAGTCTCTTTCTTTCCTTTCCTCTCCCCCTTTCCTCTCCCCCTGTCCCCATTCTCTCCTTCTTAGGTAACACTATGGAAGTGCAGACGTTACCTACACCTCTCTCTCTCACACACACCCACACACTCTTTAAGGTTACGGGTACACAAGTACACCTTTTAGCCAATTGCCTATACACTAATCAGGTCAATCTTGACTGACATGTACCAGCTGACTCCTTTCCAGTTCATATAGTAGACGATGGGTAACGCTGTATATTTTAACAAAACACATGAAGGGTAAATGATATAAAACACAGTGAGACAGGGACAATGTGAAAAATGAGAGAGACTGAGACGAGAACTGGAAAAAGAGAAGTAGTGAAGCATTTTGTTTGATCAAGTACAACATCCATAAAAATGAGAACAAAACTAAACTGTCTGGTTTTTCATATAAAGAAGCATTTGTGTTGTTTGTTTTTTTACCTGACAAGTTCATTGTTTCTGGAGAGTCCTTCCAGATATCTCTTCCGTGCATAAAAGTTGTGGATATATTTCCTCACATAGAATCCTCTCCATCTCCGCTGGATCTGTGAGGAATTAAAGCATGACTGGTTGTTGTTTTAAACACAAACCGACAGGGTGATAAGAAATCATTTGTTTCACGTTGCAATTATTCCAGTGAAACACTAACAGGAACAAGTCATATGTCATGTCTTTTAATGTCTACATTTGTCTTTGTTTTTGTTTGTATGCTTTTTTTGCTCTTTCAACACACAATAAATGAGATAGATGAAGGAATTAACATGTGCAAATTGCAGAAAACTTTTTAAAGCATGCATACACATGCATGCACTTTTAGTTTCTCCCTCTGGAGTGATGGAGGGACAGTCCAAGGTGGAACAGACAGCTGTCACAGCCTCATACATTTAACTGTATGAGCCCACATTGATTGTGGAGGCTGCAGATTAGCTAGTACACACACCCAGACACACCAGTGGACCATTTTAAAGCAAGGGGGCGGATGTCCTTCAGACTAATTAGGAGATTAAAACAATGGCAGGTAAAAGAATAATCACACAATGAGAAGAGGGATGAGGAGAGAAGAGAGGGAGTGGAGGATGGCGAAAAAAACAACAAAGAGCAAAATGAGAATTAGCATTGATCTGCCAGTCAATAGATAATTTTAAATAAAGTAATTGCCGCCTCCTGAGTTCTTGCTGACCTTTGTTGACTAGTGAAATCAATGCTGTTGAATCTAATACAAATCCAGGGTGTGTATGTAAACACTGGTTTCTATTACGGCCCTAATACATTATCCTCTGTTAGCGACCATGCCGTGATAAAGACAACAGGAGAAGAGAGAGAAAAAAAAGAATAGAAACAAAATTGATTCAAAAGAAGTGTCATGAGGGGAATCTGAGATGATTGTTTCTCCCTTTGCGTCCCACTTTCTCTTTATTTACACATTAAATATTTCTTGATCACAGATGTCCTTCATTTACTTTTGCACAGGGTCTCCCTCTCCCTTTCTATATATTTCACCTTCATATACATGAACAAAGTCTATAGACTCAGACTTTTTAGAGTCTGAGATTGCAAATGGTAGCTCACAGTCCTGCCAATATTTTGCAGGATATGAGAAATCCCAACATGTACCATTAAGTCTTTCAACAGGTGTTGTCATAAAAAGCCAAGTCTGGGAATTAGATATATTTTCACTTTACTGTTTTATTACAGTATTTGTAAAGAATATAGAACAAATACACTGCAGAGAAAATTGTTATGGGGATCAAACATGTATCTTCTGTCACTGCAAAGCACTGAGCGACTTCGCAATCCAATTCACATCCATTTCATTTTCTATTAGAATTCCTATTGCTTCCTATGGGAAACTGTGGTTATATGTATATGGGTAATAAAGACCTCTAACTTCCGAAGCTTCCACTTTTCTCTCCATTGGTAATATCACCTTTCATGCTTGGACTTAAAACAGCTGGGTCAAACATTACTCTTGGATTCATGTGTCTTCTGTAATGTGACACAACAACAGGGTGGTCAGCTTTATTTGTTTGGATTTATATTAAGTGTAAAACCCGGAGCCTTAAAAATCCAGACTTTTCCACCTATGAGAAAATATAGCCAATCGGACACTAGTGGATTTTTTTGTTGGCCTATAAAAGCCTTTAATGGTTGAGGCAGAATGAAACTGTTAAGCAAAAGAGTGGGCTATAAGGAATTGTAAAAATATAAGGTTTCTGTGCAATATCCGTGTGTAAAAATGTCAAAGCATCAGTCACAGCCATGGTGCGGTAATTTATGAGTTGTAGCAACTGAGTGGGGTAAAGGGAACATTTGATTACCGTGAGCACTGAATAGAAGAACACAATTAAGATTGCTAAAATTGAAATTAAGACAGAAACTGATGTTAACGATCAAATACATGAGCACGCACTTTTATTCTTTATTTTATTTATAATAGGCCTCTTACTAAGCACTGTGCATGAAAAAAAGAATAATTAAGGTTATTTATAAAAAGTGAACACTGTTGTTACTATACAAGGATCAACTAAGCATAATTTTTCTTTATCAGAATTTTTTCTTTTGTGTTTTATTGCTGATTTTAACTATGTTGCAAATTAAACTGGTCAGGGATGTCAACATAAACAACACAAAAAAGATGTCGAGCCTCAGGACCTGATTCCTTTTGTTTCCTCTGTGTTTTCCAATGCCCTTGTGTGTGTGGTCTGTCCCATGTCTTACACCTGACTGGTGCACCTGAGGTTCACCTTCTCCTGCCTCCTCAGTCACACCCAGCCGACTCATCAGAACACTGGATCAGGTCATACCTGCTCCGTAACAGGAAGCCTAAAGCTATGCTCGCCTGCCTTGTTGCTCTCAGGAAATCAGACTACACCACTTGAACTGCTCAAATTGCAAATTTGCGAGTTGCATAATGAAGCTTTTAACCTCACTCCTGTCTCTGCCTTTGTTTTGACTCCAATTAAAATCCTTAAAAATAAAAGTATGTAAGATTAAAGAAGTTATTATGAAGAATTTTAGCAATGAAACTGTGTGATGAAGGGCTAATATTCATGGGGCCTACCATTCCCAGCACACACAGAGAAACAGAGAGTCCCCCCACCACGACACTCCATTTGCTAAAACAAGACACTGTGGGGATATTTACCCTGACCGCCATCTCCTCGTAGAAATTCATCTTCATGATAAAATATGCCGCCTGTGAACACAAAGGAAAAGATGGCATTACACCTTGTCTCCCAGCCCTCTGATCTGTCCACAGCAGGCGTCAAAGATAAAGAGCTCTTTATACATAATACATTGCATCGAGGCAGCACATATAGGGCCAATGAAGAAGGGGGGGGGATTGAAGGAGGCAGAAAAGGAGAGAGGGAGAGCAAGAGAGACAAGAGGAGCGATGAAAAGTCAGGAGAACGGAGAGAAAGAGGGGGAGAGAAAGAAGGGAAAAAGAGAGAGTGGTTAGTGGGACTCTGCATGAAGGGGAGGACGGTACTCTCTTAATACACCAACGCAGACAAGGGCCAAGAAAATCTATGGTAGTCAAGCAGCGAGCTAATGGAGATGTATGACGGCCAAACGCTCTCCTCTGGATTTCATAATCAATGACAGCGCTGCCAGAAGAGACTAACAAAAAGGGCCAGAGAATATTCAGCAGCACACCCGACAAGCCGTCACACACCAAACGTTCCGGGCCGACCACTGGGGGCACATTTCAGGAGCAAACTGGAGAGTCAGCCATAAAAGGGATTCCTATCGCAACATGTCTTTTTTAATAACGACAGGGAGAGAGGGAAGAGAGGAAGGCGAGAGGGAGACAAAGACTTGAAAGGAGGTTGTAAATTCAGCTTGATGTTTGGAGATGAGGCTTTGTGCATGTCATATTACACATGATAGGGTCTGCAAGAGTGAGGGAGAAAAAGACAGACAGAGAGAGAGACAGAGAGAGAGAGAGAGAGAGAGAGAGAGGAGGGGTTGAAACTGAATCTCTCAGGGCTAATTCAAAATAGTGCAGTGTGGCAATTTTGAGTGATTCAAATTAGCGCTCGTCTGTTTCCAAATGAGACCAAACAGCCTCTTTTTAGCCCATATGTGTGTTGTGACACATCCTTCATCGTTTATTTCAAGCCCCCACCCCCCCAACCACCACTTCCAATTCTTGAATGCCTCCCAAACAGTGGCTGGCAGTTATGCTTTAACAAACAGTCAATTTACAGGCATGATAAATAGCTTGTTGTGATACGTTTACAAAACTCAATCCAGGGGAAAATTATACGTGAGAGCGCTGGGTATTGGATCCGGTATCAACAATCTGTTCAATTACGAAGCAGTTGGAGGCAATATGCAAAAAATGGGGCCTTGTTTTACTAAAGCGCACACACACACACACACATGCATCATACACACAAACTCTCCTACTCTTTCCTGCTCTCTTCCTTTTCCACACTTTTTCTATATGCATCCCAGCAGTTGCGATATAGATGGAATTCCTTATCATATTGCATCATATTTCCTAAGTGCTAATTTCCCAATGTGTAATGAGTGAATTACATTTCTTAAGGTCAGACGCAGGGACTTAGGAATACAGCAATTGAATTCTAATGCATGCTATCATAACATAGTCAATATATCTATAGCCGTTCCAGGCTGTAGCTTACCTTCACCATTTGTCTGAAACGTGCCCTTGCTGTGAAGCCCCGCCATATCTTCTGGATAATGATTGCTTTCTTGTGCAGATGGCTGTAATAAAATCATATTGGGGAGATGATTGGATGTGTATTTTTCCGTCGTTTATATGGAGGAAAACACTGAAGAAAGTTATTTAGAAGCACATGGATGTAAATTTAACTGTGTATATTTGATCATTTGGGAGTTTATGCTAAGAAACTAAGTGCAAAATAACAAAAACCTATAAAGAAAAATTAAAACTTGCAAAATTAAAAAGCTAAA